CAAAATTTGAGGATCTCTAAGCCCTACTAGTAAGACCTATTCAGTTAAAATTTATCCTACCGGAAACCTTGAGAACCAATGCATAAGATATAATTACACCTGAAAATATTTTAAAGTGGAGTTGTGCCTAGCAGAAATTTTCTCTGGCAAGTACGAAACGAAACTAATGTACTCTATACTTTATAAATAATTTTGAAGCTAGGCTATTGCACTTGCTCATACAGCTTATAAGTTTTCATGTTTACTCAAGAATTAATAATGTGTACATATTTATATTGTCCATTTCCTCAGAGTGTCCAGAGGATCGTGTAACAATGCATTGCGATCTCACAAGAAATGTTTGGGTTAACCAACGTTTTTCATACCTTCACGACAAAATGACCATGAGATGCCTCCAGCGGATGCACGAACGTGTTGAACCGACCTGTAAGTTTAAATGATTTGGTTAAGGTTAAAGAAATATGTATAAATTAATCTGATTAAGTCAAAATGCATGAGGTTTTATACATAAAACTGATTTTATCTCAACATACCTACTGCTTCATCAATTTACACGTAGATTATTGGTAATAAGCTATTGTATGCAGCCCTAAGTTAGGTATACTTTTGAGCTAAATCTACTTCATAGCCCAAAAAAATAGGACATTTAATCTGTAACATTTGAGTGGCAGATTCACAATGAAAATATTCAATTAAATATTAGAAATGCTCATCAGAATTTTTTGAACGGCACGGGGTTTGTACTCTAAAGCAAGCTGCTTCACACACCGCACATGCCTTACAATATCTTATGTATATTTATTTTCATCCAAGTTAGACTGATGATGTCATACTAAAATGAAAACACACAAATTTTCATACCCTTAATATTACATGAAATTTTAGTCACACTAGTGGTAATACAGGTATACTTATTCACATATCATCCATGTATGCTCACTAAGCACATTAAAATCTTATTGAAACGTTTGTCTGCAGATGAGGCTAAATACGAGTAATAAATTTGAACTAGAATTTAAGAGAATTATAAACCCAACTATGAAAATGCCCCATTCGAACTTTCACTTTAACGCACCTTAGAAGAAGTGAGCTAAAACGAAGTACAGACAAGAGAGAAGCTATCCGAAGATAAAGTAGCTATAAATTATATTCAGTGTTTATGTGATCTAGTGATAGTCTCGAAAATCTGCTTATAAAACAATACTATTCAGAGTTTGCTTATATGTTTGCTGCGAAATGATTTTTATCATTCAGACCATAAATAAAGGCTTACAAACAGAAAGTTTATACAATATGAAAAGAAATTTCTGTGACCAACCCTAGTCTGACTCGACTCTCCTTGTCAAAATAAAGAGTTATAGTATGCTTTTTAGAGGCTCGCTTGAATAGGAGAAACACACCTTGGGAAAAAGAATCAATCTCTTGTAGGAAAGTCTGGCTTGAACTGTATCAAATACAGATTACACATTCATTTTAAGGAATATCCTTTTTGTATATATTTTTCTGTATTGTTTATTGCATATTGGCCTTCCAGCTGTTAGTGCTTGTGAACTTTAACCTGTATCCTCATATTCCGACGTTTGTAGATTGCCGTCAGTCCAGCTTCGACATGTCGCCCTGCAATCTAGAGACTGGCAAGCGTGAGATTATCCATACCACCTACACTATGGAACACTGCCATTGTCGGCGCCAAGAACGTCGAATTCTGCGGCCCTGTGGTTGTCATCTGCCGAATTCTAGGCTTCTACCGTCCGGCAATTCTCTCAATAAGGCTGTAGGTCCAGCAGAGACAAAGATGAATTGTGACGCTGAAAAGGGAGTTCTGATCGCCAGGAATATTAGTTGGACATGGAACGACGAGGCCGATCGGTGTGTCGCCACTAGGGAAGTAACGGTGCAGCCAGTTGGTAGGTTCTGATTCTTTCACACAAAAATTGATGGTATTCTCTTTGTTATTGTCCATTTCATGGCAAAGAGGCAGGTGTGATAACGCATCCCTAAACTCGCCAAAAAGGGCATACCTTTGGAGGGGTCTAATACAAACAAATTAGAAGTTTGGATATTGGGGGAGGGATATGCGAGGATGGGGAGATGTTAGATCTACCATGATAGAAGAAATGATACAACAGCTCAGCAGGAAGTTGTTTAAAGGACAAGTTGTAGCTTTGTACTATGAATAACAGGACTCACTAACTGTCGACTACATTAGCAAATTCACGGTCCAAAGCTGAAGATTATTAGGATTAACATAGTAGATGACTTTGGACGAGATGCGCCCACTTAGGTCTCTTATAAAACGACCAGGTTGGATCACGTGGTCAAACCATTTCTATGCATCGAAAAGAGACTGCCGTCAAATCATAGGCCTTCACATCTTGGTTTTTATGTCTATGTCTATGTGGTGGAATTCAGCTTATCTTAACTTCGAAGGCTAATTA